CGACGTGGGGACGGGCACGGCGGGCGCGGGCGCGGGGGTGAGACGGTTCTTGATGATGCGGCCCGCGTTGGGCGTCGACGACGGGTGGGCGGCGGTGGGTGGAGGTGGAGGTAGCGGCGAGGGAGGAGCGCATGCTGCTCTCTTGTGGCGGCTCGCGCTCGCGGTAGGCCATCGCGCTTGAGGATGAGGGGGTGGCGGCGGGGACGGCGGGGAGGGTGTCGATGCGGTGGACGGAGGCGGTGCGGAAGTTGGTGGGGGTGGAGGCGACGGGGGCGGCTGGAGATGAATGAGTATTATGTATTTCGTGAAAGAGAAAATAAAAACACCCACCAGCCGCCGAAGCCTGACTCTGCTGTAACTGCTGCTCGAGCGTCCCCCTTCGCTCAACGCGCTTCATTTTCTTGCGGCACCTAAAGAGAAGATGTGTCAGCATTTGGGATCATTACGACTCCTGCTCCCTCCAGGTGCCTTCCCCGTCGAAGGCACGAGCGCTCGCGTGCCTTTGCGTGGCAGCACGAGCGCTCGAGGACGACGCCCGCAGCACCAGCGCTCGCAGCAGGCCCGGAGGCAGAGTATGTAGACCAAGACATAGACACTCACCGATCACATACCGTCCCAGGCCCTAACGGCCCCGGACCCCACTTCTCCACGCATTTTCCTTCCTGCAATCGTCGTCAGCATCCATTCTTTTCCCCCATTTTTTAAAAAGGAATTATAAAAGTCGTTCCATCGAATTTATGAAAGTCGTTTCCATCAATTTTTTTTATGAAAGACCAGTAGGCAGGAAAAAAATGGAAAAGACGAAAGAGGAAAGGAAACACACCTTATACCGTCCCGGCAGCCCACACTGCCTGCAGATACGCTGGTTCGCGGCGTTGGTTGGGGGGAAGGGGGAGGTCTGCGTTGCGAAATAGTGTCAGTTTGGTCTTGTCCGGTATCGAGAGAAAGAAAAACAAAAAAAGAGGGAGAAAGACGGGGGAGGGAGCGCAAAAACGCAGAAACGCGCCATAGCCCACGCGGAGACGTCCGAAAAAGGAAATCCGCGTCCCTCCCCCCCCAAAAAAAAAACGCAAAGAAGAAGAAGAAAAAACGCACCCCAACAACAGCAGGCACCCCCGCCCCCGCCCCCGCCGCTGCTCCAGGTGCAGCCGCAGGCCCCTGTCCAGCGGGGTACGGAAACGCATGCAGGTCCTTCGTCCCCTTCTTCACCGGCCCCCCCTGCGGAGGCGCAAACACCGTAGCCTGATACACGCCCTCTCCCCCTCCCCCACTTCCTCCTTCCCCCCCGCCTCTCCCACTTGCGTCCCCGCCTCGTGCACCTCCGGCGTCCCCCCTCGCCCGCCCGCGCGTATCCATGCTCCCCGCCCTCTGCGGCGTGTTCGCACCCCCACCCCCACCCGCGTCGAGGGTGTTCGCGCGCGTCCATTCGGGGGACCGCCCCTGTCCCTGTCCTTGTGCGTGGTGCGCCGCAGAGTGTTGATGCGCGGACGAGTGCGGGTGGTGCGCAGACGGGCGCGGGGAACCGTTCGCAGACTCGAGGAGCATCGCGTCGAGGTCGTCGGACGCCGTGCTCGGGGACCTGTCTCTATGTGTTGCGTCGCGGTCTCTCCCTTCTCTACCCTCGCGATCGCGATCGCGGTGAGAATGAGAATGCGACGCAGGGTGGTGCGAGAGCGTCGGCTGCCGCTCGGGCGAGCGGCGGAGGGTGTTGTGTCTCGTTGGGTGCGAGGAGGAGGAGGTGGGGGGGAGGTGCGAGGAGGAGGAGGAGGTGGGGTAGCGGGAGGGGTTGGGCCCGCCGGGGCCGGGGAGGGGGTAGTATGTTGGGGCGGTGTGGTACTGCGGGGAAGTCAGCGTGAGTCGTGATAATAAGGGAGAAAAGGAGAAGAACGTCGGAGAGAGAAAAGATGGATAGAGGAGAAAAGGACGTGTGTGTGAAGAAGGTGGAGTGGATAAGGGAAAGAGGACGGGACGAAGGGATGGAGGAAGGAAGGGAGGTGGAGGAGGGCGGAGGGCGAGCGAGGACGAGAACGAGGATGAAGGGCAGTGAGATGAATAGATAGGAAGAGCGAAATCATGAGATGATGTCGAGACTGACACGTGGGGGAGAAGTGTGGAAGAAGGTGCGGAAGGTGGAAGGAAGGACGAGGACGACGAAAAGTGGAAAATAAAAGGAAAATAAAGGAAAAAGAAACAATAAAACGCCCAGACGAAGCCGCCCAAACGTAGAATAGAAAGAAATTCGTAGAAAACCAGAAGAAAAAAAAGAAAGAAAGAAAAAAACGCACATCAAACTCCCCCTCCCCTCCCCTCTGCTTCTTGTTCGGATACCCACCCCCACCCCCCCCAGCATACAAATCCAAACTCCCCTCCCTCGGCCTCCGACTCCCAGTAGCATGAGCAGCAGACCCAGACCCAGAAGCCGCAGGCAACGGTGGCAACGCCAACCCCCCAAACGCATCCCGCGTCGCGCGCCGCCTGCTCTCGTGGTGCGAGGACGCGTGGTGTAGTCCGGAAGGCGGGGGCATATTATACCCCGACCCCGAATCGGCGTAGCGATACGCCCCACCACCCCCTCCCCCCCCACCTGTATACCCCCCGCCCCCGGAATACCACGTAGAGGACGAAGCCGGCACCGGCACGTCCACCAACACCAGCCTTCCCCCGCCCTCCCCCACGATGCGCCCGAACCCCGCGCGCGCGTCGGCGGCGCGCGCTTCGACGACGCCGAGGTAGGAGTTGAGCTGCGCCCAGTTGGAGGTGATGGATGCGAGGCGGGCGAGGGCGTCGTCGCGCGCGGACTCGGCGGCGGTGGTGCGGTCGTCGAGGGTCAGGAGGAGGGCGAGGGTGCTGGGGGGGAGTGTGTTTGAGGGGAGAGAAGAGGTGCCGGGGGTGGGGGTGGGGGCAGGAAGGGCAGAGGGAGACGTGGAAGGGGCGGGAGCGTTGGGCGAATCGGACGCAGACGCAGCCGGCGCGCCATCGACTGCAGGGGGGACGGGCGTATCGCTCGCACTGGCGCTCGCGCCCGTCCCTGAGCTCGTCGGTCGTTCCTCGCTTTCTTTTCCTCCTTCCTTCCCCCCGCCTTCTTTGCTCGTCTTCGTCTCTGCAGTCGTCGTAGCAGCGGTAGAGGTAGAAGCAGCAGACAACGTAGCAGCCACCGCCCCAAACGTCCCCAACAGCCTCTCCGCGCGGTCAGCGCGCCGCTTCTGCGCTGCGAGCTCCTCGCGCAGGGCCTCGACGTCGCCCAAAGCACCGGCGAGGAGGGCCGCGAGGTGCGCGGAGGTGGTTAGGGTGCCGGGGAGGGGTGTTGTCGTCGTTGTTGGTAAGGTCGAGGAAGAGGAGGTGGGCAAGGTAGATGCAGAGGAGGACGCGGGGAGTGTAGACGAGGACGTAGCCGTCGAAGGCGCGGTGTCCTCCGCGGCCTTCTCGACCACGGCTAGGACGACAGCGGGCATGGGGACGTCCTCTGTTTTTTCTTTTGATTCTTTTGATTCAGTAGATGCAATAGAAGCGCTCTCGACGCCGGGCATGGGCGCGGGGTCGCTCATCGTCTAGTGCGGATAACAAGGTGGTGGCAAGAGCAAGAAGGGTGGTCGCCAGGGCAAAAGAAGCAGCAAGCGTCGGCGGAGCGCGGAGTGCAGTGCGGCGCGTCGGCAGTCGGCAGGCGTCGGCAGGCGGCTCGCTAAAGCCTAGTACTACGCGGTTACAGTTATTCACGTATAGGAGGCGGCGCACATACCAAGTATTCTGAGCGGGGACACAGGCGGGCAAAGAAAGCACTTCAGCGAGGGAACAGGAAAGAAGCGGTGCCTCTTGGACGGAGCGGGCGGTTTATAGCCTTGACCGACGTGAAAAGAAGCGCCCCACTGTGCCACGCCTTGCCCGTGCGGGCGGGGAACCACGCGGCACAAACCAACGGCACTTGGCGCGGTTCGATTCGTTTCAATCGAACGCATCACTAAATCACGGAGTTAGCGTACGTAGTCTATTTTCGTTCTCCAGAGTCGCTCTGGTTCTACTCCCGACTTATCTGTTGGGCATCGCTCTTATTCCGCGCCCGCGCCGTTGCCGTTGTCGTTGCCTACCTCCTACCTCCCTCTCTCTTCTGCCACATTCAAAATTGGTGTGCACCGTTGACACGTTCCATCGCCATCAGGCGCAGAAGCGCCGCGCTCCCCGGGGTCCCTTCCCTCCCTTCAATTCCCATATCCATATCCAATCTGATTCAATCGCGTCCGTCCGTCTTCCTCCGACGACGACTTCTGATGCACCAGCCCCGCCTTCGCGGCTGATGGTTCGCCGTTGCGCCTCCGTCACGAATCACGGTGCCCATGCCCACGCCCCCACGGTTCTTCGCCCCTTGAAGCTGGTGCCACGTTTCAGGCGCTGTTGGGCCATGGCCAATCGAAGCCCGCCCCGCGCGCTGACTGACCAGGACTGACCCTGCGCGCCGGCCCGGTTCACTTGAGTTACGACAAGGGCCGTACGCGTCTCGTCGGCGTGTTTACGTATACACTGTACAAACGGCGCACGCGCGGCGAACTCCCCCGGCGTGCGGCGCCAACCGTTAATTCAATGATATGATATGCATCAAGTGTCCCCGCCTCGCGCGCAAACTTTATTGCCACGCGCCCGCCTTGCCGCGCTTGTCGGACTTACATGGGATGTGGGATGCGGGATATCGACGTGGGATATCGACGTGGAATGCGGGACAAGTACCCCACATCTATGCGCTCAGATCGATACGATACGATAGGGGCGGCGTTCTTGTGTTGTATGTGGCTTATATGGTTGCCGAGCGCGCCCTGATCGGCGTCTTCGCGCCCTGTGCGAATATATATATTGTCGAGCGACGGCGAGCGCAGTGGGATTACGTTTATCTTCGCCTTTATGTTATGTTATGTCGGCGTCCTACTTAATATAATTAATATAATAGTGAACAACTTGAAGCAACGGAGACAATCAGGAGACCTGACAAGTGACCAAATGACCAAAGCGGCATCGCGTCCTTGGTGTAGCGGTAACACACAATCTTCTTCTACTTGATCCGACGCCTGGATGAGATTGGGTACGGGGTTCAAACCCCGAGGACGCATCGCCAACTATCCAGCTGGTTTTTTTCCTCTTGGGGCTTTGGTTTCCGTGAAGCACCACGCTAAACTGTCGCCAGTGAAATACTTTTTTTTTCCTGGTCTTGAGTTCGCTGCGTTGGCCTTTCACTTTATTCGAGTTCCTCCCAGACTGATGGGCCCATCGAGATTAACATGAATTTAAAGGCTGATGTCGCGTCCTTGGTGTAGCGGTAACACACATTCACCGCCCGGTTTCTACCAATTCGAATGGTCCGGGGTTTGACTCCCCGAGGTCGCCTACCCATTTATGCCGGCCTTTTGTTCTTCTTTTTTGTTCCTTTTTTTCGAGCAGACTTCGTATGTAGGTTTTCATTATTCTGAATGGCAAGTTTTTGTTCTTCCTCCTCTTATTCCTCCCATGGCCAGTCAAGCTTTTTTTTTAATCTGCACTAACAACTCTTGATTGATACTGATATTGATTTAGAAACACAAGGTGTCTATCATTTGAGAGGCCGATATTGCGCCCTTGGTGTAGCGGTAACACGCAATCTACTTCTGGGTAAAATAGTTTCAAGTTTAGGATTGGGTCCGGGGTTCGAGTCCCGAGGGTGCATTGCAATTTAGACCAAATTTTTTGCTCTCGCTCTCGTTCTTTCTGTCTTTCTCTTTTACTCTGACTTTGCACGAGCTGGCATTGCCTTGCTCTGCAAGTATCTTCATCGCAGACATCCTATTGCTAATTTAATAATTAATATTGGGAAGCAACTCATTCTCAGAAACAAGTGGGTACATAGATCACCAAAGACAAAATGACAGCACGACATGATGCCAGGTTAACAGAACAGCATCGCGCCCTTGGTGTAGCGGTAACACACAATCTACTCTTGATAATTTGTCAAAATGATTTTGACTGGGTTCGGGGTTCGAGCCCCCGAGGGCGCATTTTCATGTGCTTTGCCGCTTTTTTTCTCGGGGCTTTGCTTTGCTTTCCTTCAAGCTGTGACCCACCTTAAGCTTCCTTTGCCACGTCCAATTCGTTTCCGCCACATCCCACATCCGCAGGATGGCACAGACTGTGACGCAGTCTCAATGAATATATTTGAAGCAGCTCCACTACCAGTGCAATTCAATTCACAGAAAGAGGGACAATATGAATATGGAATCTACAGTAGGAGGGCAAGATCTATCATGGGTAGGCTGGTATGGCGTCCTTGGTGTAGTGGTAACACACAATCTATTAATCTTGAAGTTTCCATCAAAGTATTTGGATTGGGTCCGGGGTTCGACTCCCGAGGGTGCATCTATATCGACTTCATGCTTTTTGTTTCCTTCCCTGTTCTCGGCTTGGTTTCCGAAGCACCACCGGGTCCAAGTTAAACCTGTCACCAGTGAAATACGTTTTTTTTTTCCTGTTGAGCTCGCTGTGGTACCGGCCTCTTGCCTCATTCAAGTTACTCGAGTTCGAGTTCCTCCCTCCCGAATAACCTTAACATCAGTTTGACCTATTGTTTTGAAGACTGATGTAGCGTCCTTGGTGTAGTGGTAACGCACAATCTACTTCTGCACCACACAACGGATAGTTTAGGATTGGGTCTGGGGTTCGACTCCCTGAGGGCGCATTTTCGAATATCGGGTTTTTTTGCTTCTTCTTTCGGGCTGTGGTTTCCGAATCACCACGCTAAACTGTCACCATTGACAGTGAAATCCTTTTCTTTTTCCTGGTCTGAGCTCGCTGCGTTGGCCTTTCACTTTATTCGAGTTCCTCCCAGACTGATGGGCCCATCGAGATTAACATCAATTTGAGATTCTAATGAGATGTCGCGGCCTTGGTGTAGCGGTAACACACAATCTATTTCTACCATGTGCCGCTTTGAACTATTGAAATGATTGGGTCCGGGGTTCGACTTCCCGAGGGCGCACTTCCCAGATATTTGAAATCCTTTTTTCTTCTCGTTCTTTCTTTCTTCCGTTTCCTCCAAGTTTTGACCTCCAAGTTTTGACCCGCAAGATGGCACAAACACAGTCTTGGATATTTAAAGCCCCACTGCCAGTCTGAATTGTGCCGGCAGTCTCGATTGAACAATTCAGAGGAAGAGGAGCAAGTGTCGGGACTATATGGAATCTAATTATAAGAGCCCAGCTTGACCTATCATTTTGAGAGTTTGATGATGCGTCCTTGGTGTAACGGTAACACACAATCTATTAATTGCAGTCTAGTAGGATTTAGATTGGGTCCGGGGTTCGACTCCCCGAGGGTGCATTCGAATTTTGGATTTGATTTTCTTACCTCGGTCCTCCATTTTTTTACCTTAAACTTTTGACCCGCCAGTGTTAGTTCTCCCTTCAGGCTCACTCTTGCTTGCCAGACCAACCGGAATTAGAAGAGACACATAACTTTATGCACATGAGATCTCCATCCACCATTCAGGATATATGTGTAATGATATCGCGTCCTTGGTGTAACGGTAACACACATTCACAGCTCGGTTTCCACCAATTCGAATGGTCCGGGGTTCGACTCCCCGAGGACGCCTGTGGTTGAGGGAAATGTTTTTCTCTCTCTGTCTGTCTTCTTTCATTCGAACGCTGGTACTTGCACTTGAATTATTATTACTTTTAACACGCAATCTCCTTTTGGTGTTTGAATATATTCTGAATTGGGTCCGGGGTTCGACTTCCCGAGGGTGCATGCTGCTAGGGTCGTATTGTTTCTGTTTTTTTTTTCTTCCTCGCGCGCGATCGTTGTTTATTTTTCTCGGAGCTTTAGTTTGGTTCAAGCTGTGACCCGCCTTCCTCTTGCCACGTCCGTTTCCGCCATATCCCACATCCGCAAGATGGCACGCACAAACCGTGACACAGTCTCAATGAATACATTGCCAGCACAATTCAATTCACAGGAAGAGGGACAATATGGAATCTACAGTAAGAGGTAAAGATCTATCATGAGGAGGCTGATATAGTGTCCTTGGTGTAACGGTAACACAATCTATTAATCTTGCAAATGTACGCGAGCTCTAAGATTGGGTCCGGGGTTCGACTCCCCGAGGGTGCATAGACGTGTATGTTTGTACTTTTTTTCTGTCGCTTGGTTTTCCTTCAAGTTTTGCCTGCTTTCGTCCGCAAGATGGCACAAACACAGTCTTGAATATTTGAAGCAGCTCCACTGCCAGCACAATTCAAATCAGAGGAAGAGGAGCGAATGTCGGGAGGATATGGAATCTAAGAGCCCAGGTTGACCTATCATTTTGAGGCTTTGATGATGTGTCGTTGGTGTAGTGGTAACACACAATCTACTGTTGGTGAAGGATCGCTGAATGATTGGGTCCGGGGTTTGACTCCCCGAGGGCGCTTTCCAAATTTTAGGATCTATTTTTTCTTCTTCGTTCTTTTCCATCAAGTTGTGACGAGACCCAGCCCTTCCCCTTGCGATGCCCCGCTTTATTTGTACCAGTGCCAGTGAGGAGCATAGCACAAATGAACACCAGTATAAACAGGATGCGAGATGTGGAATTTTAAGAGCCCAGCTTGATCTATCATTTTGAGACTTTGGTATCGCGTCCTTGGTGTAACGGTAACACACAGTTTATTAATTATTGATGGCCTCACAAAAGTATTTAGATTGGGTTCGGGGTTCGACTCCCCGAGGGTGCTTCTTATGGGAGAACTGTTTTTGTTTTATTTGAATGCAAGTTCCTCCTCCCATTTTTGTTCCTTGCGCACCGCCATCTTTAGCGTGAAGTTACATGTAGACTGTAAATGTGGTTTTCTGGAGGTCGGCCTCCTGCAGCTACTTGATTTGAAGGCCCTCTGAATCCCAGACTGAATTTCGAATCTTGTCATGCGATCGATGGTTCACTTCTGATAGCATGAGCCATCAATTTTAGAAAAGGTATAGCGTCCTTGGTGTAACGGCAACACACGTTCACTTGCCGGCTTTTAGCCATTCGAATGGTCCGGGGTTCGACTCCCCGAGGACGCCTGACCCTAAGGCATCCAAGAATTTTTCTTCCTTTTTTCCACATTCCAGCACATTCCAGCACAGTCGGTAGGCTTTTCTTGCCCGGCCCCGTTTGCGAGTCTCTGTTCTAACCTCAGTCAACCTTTTAATCTGCACCAACCAATGCTGTTGTTGATCCATACCAGTACTGAATATCAATTGTTCGGAATTACCATGATGGGATGATCTCCGTCGATCGAAGGACTGATATGCCTTTGGTGTAGCAGTAACACACAACTAGTACTTCTGCTTTGCATAGATAGAAGATTCCGGGGTTCAAGTTCCCTAGGGCGCAGAAGCATTTTTTGGTTTTTTCTTGCTCATTCACCTCCTCGATCTCTGCTCCTTTTGCCATGTTCATTTCCATTTCCTGCCAGTGCAACCAACACAACCTGTGTCCAAATAAATTCCCAGCCAATTCATTTCAATTCCGGAATATATATATGCAAACCATGGACATGGACATCTATCTCATCCCTAGGCCGAGGCTTGATACTGAAAGAGATGATTCAGAGGTAGCTCATTAATTGGCGGATGGGTGTAGCGCCCCCGGTGTAGCGGTAACACACAATCTACTTTTGAGAATTTCGATCGGCTCTGGGATTGAGTCCGGGGTTCGACTCCCCGAGGGCGCATTCGAAGTTTGAGGATTTATTTTTTCTTCCTCGTTCTTTTCCTTCAAGCTGTGACAAGACCCAGCCTTCCCCTTGCCATGCCCAGCTTCATTTGTACCAGTGCAGGGCGAGGAGCATAGCACCAGTACAAGATGCGAGATGCGGAATTGAGACGATGATTACAACATCAACTTGAATGTTGATGTCGCGTCCTTGGTGTAACGGTAACACACATTCACAGCTCGGTTTCCACCAATTCGAATGGTCCGGGGTTCGACTCCCCGAGGACGCCTATTGATGTCGCAGGTTTTTTTATTTCTTTCTCTCTTCTTTCTTTCGAGCAGCCTTGGTTTATTTTTTTGGCCGGCCTCCCGTTTGCGGGTTTTTGTTCTAACCTCAGTGAACCTTTTAATCTGCACCAATCCTTATGATGATCTGTACCCGTATTGATATCCATTGTTCGGAAGTACCACGATAACATAATCTCCGTTGATTGAAGGTCTGATATTTACCCTTAAATGATGTGGCGGTAACACACAATCTCCTTTTGGTGTTGAATATATTCTGAATTGGGTCCGGGGTTCGACTCCCGAGGGCGCATCTGTTGGATTATCATCGTTTTTCTTCCTTCTTTCGGGCACAGTTCAAATGCAGAACTTAAGCAGCAGACATCTGTTTCCATCAGTTCGGACCGTTGATGTAGCGTCCTTGGTGTAACGGTAACACACGATCCATAACACTGTCCGGGGTTCGACTCCCCGATGGCGCCTGGTTGCCAATCCGAGCTTTTTTTTTCATTTCTCTGCCCAGGCTCAGGCTTAGGCTTCCCTCCGCCCCAGCCAGTTGCTTGCTTCACCTGTGTTGGGACAATTTACGTCAATTCAATTCGGACCTTCACGGCGTTTCTCGGGACAATGCAAAATTTAGGCAGAGAGGGACAACCATCATTTTAAATGACTGACGTAGCGTCCTTGGTGTAACGGTAACACACAGTCGATGAACATTTGATTGGTCCGGGGTTCGACTCCTCGAGGATGCCTGACAATTTCTTGATTTTTTTCCCCCCTTCTCTTTCTTATTTCCTCAACCTTTCCATTATTATCCGTATCTATCATCCTGTCCCTTCTCTTCACATCAATTGATACTGATATCGATTGTTCACTGCATTGATATGGTCTCCATCATTTTGGAAGCTGATATCATGTCTTTGGTGTAGCGGTAACATCCAATCTACCAGTAGTACTTCTCATATAAACACTGGAAAGAATTTGGATTGGGTCCGGGGTTCGAGTCCCCAAGGGCGCATGCCATACCCGGACAATTGCTTTTGTGTTGAAAAATATTTCTTTCCCTTTGACCCAAATCAATCTCTTTTGCCAGGTTCGTTCTCGCCAACGAAATAACCAATACATCTGCTAAAAGCAATCGTAAATAAAGGAACAGCACTGAATGTCGGCACAATGATACACAAATTGAACAGACATCTCTTTCCATCATTCCTCTCCTGCCATCATTCCGGTCTGCCGATGTTGTGTCCTTGGTGTAACGGTAACACTCAATCTACTATTGGATTGGTCCGGGGTTCGACTCCCCGAGGACGCCTATTGATATCGTCGCAGGTTTTTTTATCTCTCTTCTTTCTCTCGAGCACACTTGGTATGTAGGTTTTGATTATTCCGAATGGCGAGTTTTTGTTCTAACCTCAGTGAACCTTTTAATCTGCACCAATCCTTTTGATGATCGGTACCAGTACTGAATATCAATTGTTCGGAAGCACCGTGATGGCATGATCTCCGTTGATTGAAGGACTGGTATTTACCCTTAAGTGGTGTGGCGGTAACACAATCTACAATCAGACTGTACAGAACAAATCAATACATAATAATTGCAAGTGTGCAAAACAATACAGACTTTAGGCTTTATTCGTCACCTCATCGGTGGTTCACTTCTGATAACATTGACATGAGCTCGATCAATTAAAGAGAAGATATAGCGCCCTTGGTGTAGCGGTAACACACAATCTACATCTACGTTAAAAAGCAGGGAGAATTTGGATTGGGTCCGGAGTTCGAATCCCCGAGGGCGCATTCTGAACTTCGGCATCCTTTTTTTCTTGCTCTTTCTTTTGTTTCTTGGAGCCTTCGGTTCCCGCAAAACTTTTGACCCACCAGTACTAGATTGTTCATGTACAAGCAGAAAAACATCGCAAGATGCAGAATTAAGAAAAGACAGACAGCATGAGATCTCCCTCCATCATTCCTAACCGATGATGTTGTGTCCTTGGTGTAACGGTAACACACATTCACTACTTGGTTTTAACCATATCGAATGGTCCGGGGTTCGACTCCCCGGGGACGCCTGCCTGTTCTACTCCTTCTTTTTCTTTGTCCCTTCTTTCCATCGGCTTTTAATTATTACTTCTGGCCCGGCTCTCGTCGACGAGTTTTTGTTCTGATCTCCTCTTGTTTCTCTCCAGTCAAGCTTTGTTTTTCATCTGCACTAAATCTTGATTGATGCTGATTGATTGTTCACTGCATTGACATGGTCTGCATCCATTGGATGAAGGATGTAGCACCCTTGTAACGGTGACACACAATCTGCTTTTCGCACATATCCATATGAAGTTAGATTGGGTCCGGGGTTCGACTCCCCGACGGCGCATTGCACTGGTCACAGGCTTTTTTTTCCCCCTTTGTTTTTCTTCCTCGCGATCGTTGGTTATTTTTCTCGGAGCTTTAGTTTGCTTCAAGTTTTGACCCGCCTTACCCCGCAAGATGGCACAAACCGTGACGCAGTCTCAATGAATATATTTGAAACTCCACTTTTCAGACTCGGAGGAAAAGGGACAATATGGAATCTACAGTAAGAGGGCAAGATCTATCATGGGGAGGCTGATATGGCGTCCTCGGTGTAGCGGCAACACACAATCTATTAATGTCAATAAACTGGAGGATTTAGTTTGTGTCCGGGGTTCGACTCCCCGAGGGCGCATTCCAAATTTTAGGATCTATTTTTTCTTCTTCGTTCTTTTCCATCAAGTTGTGACGAGACCCAGCCCTTCCCCTTGCCATGCCCTGCTTCATTTATACCAGTGCCAGTGAGGAGCATAGCACAAATGAACACCAGTATAAACAGGATGCGAGATGTGGAATTTTAAGAGCCCACCTTGATCTATCGTTTTGAGGCTTTGGTATCGCGTTCTTGGTGTAACGGTAACACACATTCACAGCTCGGTTTCCACCAATTCGAATGGTCCGGGGTTCGACTCCCCGAGGACGCCTATTGATGTAGCAGGTTTTTTTATTTCTTTCTCTTTCTCTCTTCTTTCTTTTTTTTTCTTCTTTCGAGCAGACTTGGTTTATTTTTTTGGCCGGCCTCCCGTTTACGGGTTTTTGTTCTAACCTCAGTGAACCTTTTAATCTGCACCAATCCTTATGATCTGCACCCGTATTGATATCCATTGTTCGGAAGTACCACGATGGCATGATCTCCGTTGATTGAAGGACTGATATTTACCCATAACTGGTGTGGCGGCAACACAATCTCCTTTTGGTGTTTGAATATATTTTGAATTGGGTCCGGGGTTCGACTTCCCGAGGGCGCCTAATACTGTGGGAGTGTTTTTGTTTTCTTTCTCATTCACCTTCTCGATCTCTGCTCCTTTGATTTCCTTGAAATTTGACCCACCGGTACTTGTCCTGCTTCATGTACAATGTAGAGGAGCAGAAGCAGAACAAATCAACACACAGAACATCGCCTCCCATCATCTCAAGTTGATTATGGGATTCATCGTTTTGAGACTTTGACATAGCATCCTTGGTATAACGGTAACACGCGATCTATAATACTCTTGGGTTCGACTCCCCTTTGTTTTTGTGTTGAAAAATATTTCTTTCACTCTGAGCCGACTCAAACTTCCTTTGGGCAGGTCCGTTTCCTGCCACTGAAACGCCTAACATCTGCCAAATCCACCCGTGTCTGGGCCAATGCGGAATTGACAACAGACATCTGTTTCCATCAGTTCGAACCTCTGATGTTGTGTCCTTGGTGCAACGGTAACACACACGATTTGGATTGGTCCGGGGTTCGACTCCCCGAGGACGCCTGAATAATTTCTTCTATTTCCCCCCCTTCTCTTTGAACCTTCCAATTATTCTTCGTATCTGATGTTCCTGTTCTGACCTCTTCTCCCTACCGAGGAACCTTTTAATCTTCACTAATTTTTTATTGATACTGAGATTGATGGTCGGAATCAACCTAGGGGTCTATCCATTGGTTGGAGGGTGTACACCGTGTAGCGTCCTTGGTGTAGCGGTAACACACGATCCATGTCTGTTGAATGAATGCCCAAGGCTAAATTGGGTCCAGGGTTCGAGTCCAATGACAAGCCAGGAAATTATTTTTGGAAAGTTGTTTTGTGTGGAAAAAATATTTTTCCCTCTGACTGACGCTTTCTTAATGCAACAGCACAAAAATATCAGGACAGTGCGGAGTCTTAGAAGACAAGATCCATCATTTCGGACCTCTGATGTCGTGTCCTTGGTGTAGCGGTAACACACAACCCATTGGATTGGTCTGGGGTTCGACTCCCCGAGGACGCCTTTTCTGTAATTCCGTATCTTTTTTTCTCCTTTTTTTTCACATTAGAGCTCGTCCCTGTTCTGACCCCATGAACGGGCACACCTCAACGGGCAGCACAGTTCACCGCCGTGAGTTTGCTCATGGCCAGTGCGAGATCTACGTCAAAACAGGCTGAGCCTAGGCCTGTAGCCTCGCAGAATGCATCTCCCGACGCCTCAGCATCAACACATGGGCTACATCGAAGCGAATTGATTTGGTATAATAACCGCGACTGGCTGAGAGCAAGGCTATATCCTCTGTCAAGGATATCAGGTGGGATGGATCCCAAGTCCTGGAAGGGAACCAATAAAGATCGGAAGTCCTGCGAGGACGAACAAGTGCGCGCAGTATGAGGCTTTGGTTTTATTCCTCGTGTCTATCTATACGCCTGAAGGCATTGCAAGTACCAGACGGTTATGGATGCTACTCACGTTGAAAGCGGCGAGTTTGCGATGATGAAGATCGTCTGCAGAAGTGTTCATCTTTTCGAGGACTGTGTCCCCATCCGCCGGGTTCTCCACAGCCCACAAGACTCAGATACTCAGATCACAGTGATCCCTTTGCTTCAGAGGTACGATGAATCTCGATCTGATACTATTGGGGAAGCTATCGTATTCTTCAGGCAAATTCTCGATGTCATTCGATTTATTAACCGCCGACTGTACATGTTCTCCAACAGGGATTGAAATATATGCACAAACACAATATTACACACCAGTGAGCTCCTCAGAGCACCTTCTGAAGTTCGGTGTACTCATACACAGATAAGTGACTGCATGGGTTTGAATGTGGTGATGCCGTGATGGATGGATCACCGCTCTATTCTGAACCAATTCACCCAGGGCACCCGCTACATTTGCGAACAGTGCCTGTTTGACTCAAACTCGAGCCCTACCTCTGGAGTTGGAAACTCTTTTAAATTCGTTCTGCGACAGGAACCCCTCAACAAAGGCAAGTTCAAAACGGAGCTCGTAAGGCTCGGTTGCGGGTGGTTCCGCATCGATATCTGCTTTCGGTGCTTCAACGCCCTCGAATTATGTACACACTGCCTGCTCGACCACCGTCTCGACCCCATATGCGTCGACAGTTCTCTTCGTTATTTATTTTATTTCGGCGGTGCACGGCGGCGCGTTCGGGTCATCGGTAGGTGGGCATATGCATCACAGATTGGCCCGGGAACAAGTTGGGACGGAAAGAGCACAGCGGTTCAATACACAAGTAATAGTCTTTGAAATTTCGAGAATGAAGCACATGAAGTACAAGAAATTGGGGGTATTCGGACATCGAAGGGTCCAAACGTGTTGGCGCCAAAACAGAAAAATGCACAGCGCATGACGACTCTGCACCATGATCACCGAAACGAATGCCCTGAAAAAATGCACAATCAATATCGTTCCAGTAGTCCATTGCACGGCGTACCCTACTTTCAACACGGCCGGCATTTTTCGCGTCTCCAAAAATAGGTTCGACACCGGCTGTGCAGCTCGCCGGCCTTTCAACGTAAAGTCAGTACACAGGATCATGGGCAAGAGTGGGAGATGCTCACCAGTAGAACTCGTCCAAGTCTAACGAAGCAAGTATTTACCAAGAAACAAATCTATGCAACATCGCGACGTTCTTCAACCTTGTAATCCATAGTAATTTTCTGCGTCATTAGCAAGCTCATGATAGACGCGAGATTAGTGGTCGAGTCACCGCAACGATTCGGACATGCCGACTACCAATAAAGCTCGTCCAAATCAGCCGTGAGCGTCCTCCCAACTCCAAACGGGTGACTCTCGCAGCTCATGAGCTTCTGGAACGCCGGCTGCGTCGCCATCATCACCAGCTCCGGTACGACGCGATGCATGAATATCAAGCACCTCGACTTGTCCGCCTCGCGCCCTCTGCCAAGGAAGGGCGTCGCGACGAGCGCGACGCCTGGCGCCCCGGGCATCCCGCACGTCCCACGCATCTGTTCAAGCTGGTCTACATAGGAATTTCGCGTGTCTTCGTCGAAGACGCCGAGGGGCGCGGTGATGACGTTAGTGATGGAGAGCCGCTGCTTCTTCCGTGCGGCTTTAGGACCGTTTGTGACTGGTACCATTTTGATGAACACCAGTAGGACGGCGAGGTACGGGGGAGGGGAGTGGTGCAGCGCACCGATAGATCGCATGGCGTAGAAGATGAGATGCATCCGGATGTATTTGTGGTCCAATAGGGTTTTGCAGAGGTGCATGGCAAGGACTTCGTGATCGGGGTATCGGATACAGTCTTTTTTGTGTTGCGGCCTACGTCGCGCTGTAACGTCAATACTGTAGGTCGGTTTGAGCATTGAACTGGGACGATTGACGCACCAATGGTTTCGCTGACATGCCTCGGACATGCCTCGTTGCAGTATACGGCGGTGGAGCACTGAATGAGGTCAGAAAGGTCAATTCTAGTGGCAGACGATCATGTACGAACCCCACGGCAGGTCTTTATCTCCCGCATCCATTTGACGGTCTTGCACGATGCACATGTCCCAGCTCTGAGATTCTTCGGAGTACGCGAGCTGACATTCGGAATCACGACTGGGGCGGCGCCAGAGGATGCATTTTGAGAAGGGCGAGGTGCGGCTGCTGAGCCGTGAGCTGACGGGTTGTCCGCTATCAGGGTGGCCATAGCGCTCAGGTGGCCACGGCCGCTCCCCAAGCTCTCATGCTCGCCCAAAATCGTCGCAAACTTAGCTGCTTTGTCATGTCCATTGGATCCGTCGTGAGCACGCTACCCAAGTCAACGAGAGCGTCCATATGTCTGTCTTGCTTCCAGCGCGAAATAGCACGCCGATATCAAGCTTTGGTGAAACGGGGATCTCGCAAAAGTGCGAGCGTCGCGCTAATCTCCACCCATTGGGGCCTAGATAAATCGAGGTAGGCCTTGGATTCGCGGGACTGTTTTATTAATGAAACATGACTGCTGCAGTTTGAGCTCCACCAAGGCAAAGTTTGAGAGGTAGATGGGAGAGTTCAGAGTGTCGGCTTTGTTTGCGGCCTCGTATAGCTTGGCCGTTTCCCGTCATTGAAGAGCTTCCTTGCCTGTCGTTATAATCATGAGCCCGAGGGTTCTTGCGGCTGACTGCCACGAAACTACCTCTTTATTAAGCCAAACTGCTTGAGAGTCGTCCATGAGTAAACAGAGCAAACCTGGACTTTCTGGTGAGCGTTCATCTGGAAATCGCTTTTTCTGTGATAAATAGGCCGCCCACGTGGTAGAGCGGCCGTTTCTGGGTAGACGCCGATAGAGCCGATGTTCCCACGTAGAGCCTCATAGAGAACCGCCATCTCGGTAGAGACCACCATCTACCGTTGTCTACTGTAGAGCCCCGCGAGCTACAGTAGTCCCCCGTAGGCGTAGGCTCCACGCGTGAAGCAACCGGAACCGCTGCGATTCGTGAGTCATGTAAAATATCGGCCTTCGTCAAAACCTTGGTGCCCATCCTTCCTTCCCACTCCCATGTTTCCCATGTCCACTGTTTATTCTGCCCCTCTGTTTATGCTGGTTATTCTGTCCCCCCTGTTCAAGCTCCCTCCGACTGCTTCTGGCTTCTGTACCTCCTCAAGTTCATCTGTGCCTCTTCAAGTAAATCTATTCTCACTGCAAGTCTCTGCCAGTCCTAGAAGCTTCGCGGATGATCTTTAAGACTTCAAGACCTTCAAAAATCCTTCTTGTTCTGCTGGAATTTCAGCTTCAAGACCTCCTGGATCTCTTCGTGGAATGTACCGTGCTCGAGATTCCCCGTGCTCCTTGGCGCGCGCAGTTTAAGCTTCGTAACAGCTGTTGCTGGGCGACGCCGCTCCATCAATCACTGATTCTGATGCGCGATGCGAGGTCGGGCGACGGGTGGGTTCGTTCGCGTTTCTCTTGGTTGTTTGCCTGTGTCCGTTATCCATTGCTAGATATTGTACGGTTGTTGAATATATTATATTTCAAGTTCCCTATTTTATCAACCGCAAGTGCCGTGAATAAACGTAAAATAAAGGACTGGGAAAGCTGGTGATAAGCGGCGCCAAGTGTGCACGTGAAATAGCGCCGGCTCTATGGGAATCTATGGGGTCTATGAGGCGCTATGGCTCTACCGCTCTACAGTTCTATGAGCTCTACCATAGAAAACACGATTCTATAGCTGCTCTTATAGAAGGGGGGGTGCCTATGGCTCTATGACTCTACTGGAGCCTATCACGAGCTACCTAGCCACTGGGGGTTTTCCAGATGTTTAGCGATTGATGCTTGCCACTGTTTGTGGCTGTGTTTTGTTTTTCGCCTTTGACCACCATGTCTTCTCATCGTCCATAAATGTACGCCAAGCCCTCAACGTCTGAACTTGGCATACTCGCCACTATGAACAGTCCTTGGTTTGGGAGCCAAGTCTATAGGCTCTGGAGAGAAATTTCGCCCTCTTGTCCGGTTTCTCGGTCTTTGTCCACAGTCCTGAGTCCACTCTCTTGTAAAAAATGGCCCAAGCTCCTGAATCCTGCAATAGTAAGTTCCCATCCCCATCAAGCACAGAAGCTTAGGCCACCGACACAGCCTCCTAAAGCTTCGAGAGAAACCTACTGCCACGCAGCCTGGCCAATTGGACTGGGAGACCGTAAAGTCCAAACGCGCGAATCGTCGGAGAGAATTTAACAAATTTTTTTCCCCGATGACGGCTCCCCGGGTCGGTCCTCCGACTTGGACTGCGCGGGGTCTCTGTCACGTTTTCGGCGCCGATTCAATCAAGGGCTCGTTTTCTCGTTGTTGAACCACCCAAGCGAAAGGCACGCTATCTGCTGACTGAGGAGCAGAACGCCTACGTGCCGCGTGAGCCGCCGAACCGGTTCACTTCTTGCGGGCTGGGTATGTAATACGACGTCCAGCCGTCGTCGTGGGCCAGTGGCAGCCGACGTGCAGATATCGACGACTTACGACAAGGCCCGACTTGTCGGTGCCTCACGCGCGGCGAACTCCCCGCCAACGATCAATGATCAACGGCCCGCCTTCCGAATTCGTGCGCAAACTACAATTCGACCCGCACTAACAACCCAAGTACCGCAACTGTCGGGATATCCCTCAATTGTGAGCTGCAGCGCGTGCTTACCGCCACCGATGCGGTCAGCGCATTTACAAGTACCATCCACGATCAGTGCGCGTTCCTTCCGCTTCCATGGGTATGCGGACTAGCAGCCCTGCACTGGTACTCTCCTGCCAAATCCTTTCGGCAAGCTCTAATTCCGCCCTAACTACACGAGATACCAACCAATTCTAAACCAATTCAATGAGACCCGTATCTACCGCAGGACTCAGTATGGTTTCAACTTGATATCCCGTACTGCACGTAACGCGCCTCCCTAATCGGCGCCTCGCCTACCACACAAAGCGCGGCGGGCTTCTGCCTATAGTTCCCGCTTTAATGAGCGCCTGCATGTTGCGCCGCGCATACCACGCGCGGCGAACTCTCCGCATCCTATTCATTCACACAACGTCAGCACCTTCTTCCTGTTTTAGAACTCGGGCGTAAACTCTAAATTCGGATTGGGCAACATAGACACAGGTCAGCTCCTTAATCTCACAGTCAGGTATATGTATCTGCTTTGGATTCCGTGTCTCATTCTGTGTTATTGAGTGGTAGACCGGGCGCAACCTGCGCACTGTGTGAATTATTTTTTCGCCCCGCCGCCTGAGCGCTGAACGACGGCATTCCGCATTACGTTTTAGGGCGCGTGCCGGCGTCGGTCTCCCGATACTCTTCACATGCCGTACGTGCACACCCGCCCAAGGCGCCGAATATTGAATGTTGCCGAGCAAGCATGTCGCAGACTGGAGAGAAGACACTGAGAAATGAGCATCTACATCGCGCCCTTAGTACAGCGGTAACAATGCTACAAGTACGGACGTGGCTTGAAAGATTCGGTCCGGGGCTCGACTCCCCGAGGGCGCATGGGGTGCATCAGCAAACCCTGATTTTGGCCGTAGTGGTTGTAGTTCGGCTGTAGTTGCTGTAGTTGCTGTAGTTCCGGCACTTTTACGTAGTGCTCTGTAGTTGCTCTGTAGTACCTGGCCTCTACGTAGTTCCTGTAGTTGGAGAGGTACTATGTAGTCCTCTGTCGTATGGTTAATCTATGTAGTGAGCCTGTAGAAATTCTGGTTCTACATAGTTTGGGCTGCTACCTAATAGGACACACTTTCTATCACACACAAACAACGCGTCTCGTTTACTCTGCGTGGGAAAGTAACGCATACGTGCTTTTGTGACTGGACGCGACAAAAATTGACACAATGTGTCAGTTCTCCAGAGGGCAAGAGAGATTACAAGCGGCGTCTTCACGTGGCCGGTGTACACCGAGGGAGGCTTTGAGCAAGACTCAGATGGTTACTTGAATAATGATACTCCAGGTCCGTGGCGTAGCACGGGTGCACTGCTAGTTTAATTTAATTTAATGCGTAAATAAAAGTAGTCAGTAAAAATATGTTGTCACAGGTCTGTTCATTAGAAATTGCAAGTAAAGTCTAGAAGCTTGAAGTAAAGAGCATAACAGCAACAAAGTTTTCTGACGGACTGCTAGTAAACTACAGAGTTCTACAGAAGAACTACAGGCCAACTACAGGAGACTACGTAAACTGGCCTGGACTACGCAGAACTACGCAGGTGGTACCCTGAACTACAGTGACTACGGCCACTATAGAGACTACACCAACTACGTAGAACTACGTAGCAGACCCAGGTTTTGCTGATGCCTGTGTAGCTCTTTTCTTTTCTTTTCTTTAGGGAACAGTTTGTTTTGTTGTTTGTATGCTTTTTCTTGCCTGTCCGCTACTTATGTCATAATCGAGCTCATCACTGCGTTCCGGCCCCCACTGGACAGACTTCTGTCCCCCCTCGTCCAGCTGTGGCTATATGTGTATATGTCACGTGGACACAGTCCGGCTACCGGAGTCTATGTCTGTCTACGTGCGTCTACGCGTTCACTCCACTGTTGTGATTTTTTTGCTCAATGTAGGACTACCTCTGGCTACGTTGGTCTTTACGTTGGTCCACCCTCTGTCCATGTCGGTCGTAGTGTTGCCGCGGTCCGGTCCGAACTTCGGTCCAGTTCGAGGCCTAATTTTTCCGAACCCCAGACTGGACCTCGGGTTCGGTTTAGCAAATATATTGAACCTTGGACTGGACCCCAGGTTTAGGTTCGGCGAGGTTCGGTCCAGGTTCAAAGGCGGTTCGGACGGGTTCGGACCGAATTTTCTTTCCCACGGCCCTAATCATGAAGAAAATGTTTGCAATGCGAGCTTACAGCAAAAAAAAAACCACCCACCCACCAATATACCCGCGCATATTGCCTTCCCAAGTCACGCTAACCTCTTTTGACATTTTGATAAGTATTCGGGTCCTTCGTACTGGTTTCAATTAAGTAGCCAGATATTTTTTCGACGCTCTTCAGTCATACTTAGCTTACCGAACAGTTTCCTGTGGAAAAGAAAAATAACAACTGAGTTACAAAATGCACAAATACCATCAAAAGAGCAGATTTACCCTCAGTGTAGAATGGAATTGCCAATCAGAACATTGCTGAAAGGACTTGCACCGGCGGCCAGTTCAAACTTGAAGATCAAATGGTGGTTGAGGCAGATTTTTCTCTGCAACTGGGCTACTCCAAGAGAGAGAGGTTCGAATGGGTTCGAACCGGTTCAGTAAGGTTCACAGAATTCTGAAATTTTTTGAACCTTGAACTGAACCTTGGGTTCGGTTCATCGAACCTCACAGCCACTGAACCGGACTTTTGGTCCAGTTCAGGTCCGGTTCAGGTTCGCCAGCGGTTCAGAAGCTGACCGCGGCAACACTAGTCGGTCGACTCACGTAGACAGATACAACGAACACATCGGACGTACCATGTCTACGTGGTGTAGCCATGCGTAGCCACATATAGCCAGACTGCCTTGTCTAGGGCTCCGTCTATGCATATAGCCAGACCCTCTGTCCATTGGGGGCTGGAACGCAGTGCATCCCGGTTCTGACCTTCACTGACACAGGCATCCTCTGACTTCTCTTATCCTCAGGCTCTTATCGATCCATCTTGATATCGATGGTTCACTTCTGATAAGCTCATCAATACAGTTCAAATCTCTGATATCGTGTCCTTGGTGTAGCGGTCAAGCAGCGGTAACACGCACATTCTCCTTTTGGTATTTGCTGAATAGAGTGGTCCGTTGACTCCCCGGCCAATGGACATTCCAGCACAAACTTGAATACTCTAAGGAGATAGTTCGCTCAGGGGTATGCCGTTCAGCGAAAACCAAGTTGAATTCAATATAGACTGTCTCTTAAGCTGTACCACAGTACAATACATGTGGCACCGAACCCTTATGATGACCCGACACGAGTTGAATTGTGTTGAACGGTTTTCATCTCCCTTTCACTAGCATAAGGAATTCTTCGCGCATCTTCTGGTCTGTCCTAAAACAGCCAAGCATGCATGATGTGACCGTCATGGACCCCGGTTTCTGGACACCGCGAATCGTCATGCACATATGGCTGCAGCAGGATAGAACAGGCGTGAGAATTGGGCGAAATAAAAGCGGAGGGGAATAACTCACGTAGCCTCCATAACTACGGCTACTCCGCACGGCTGGATGGCCTCCTGGACAGCGAGCGCAATCTGCTTGGTCAATCGCTCCTGCACCTGGAGCCGCCGACCGAACATTTCGGCAATACGTGCGAGCTTGGACAGGCCCAGGACGAGCTGGTTTCCCCGGGGATGTAAGCGATCGCGATCTGGTGTGACGATATCAAGACTAACGGACGCGTGTAATTATTTTTACCTTGCCGGTGAATGGGACAAGATGGTGCTCGCATAAACTGGAGATGTCAATGTCGCGCACCAATACCATCTCGTCGTGATTCTCCGCGAAAACGGCGTTGTTCAAGATGTCTGGGGGTCGGAGGGATCAAAGGTTATAATAGTGAGTGCAGGAGGGGTTAGGCAGACCTGTTAGCTGCTCCTCGTACCCCTTGGTCATCCACATAAGTGCCTTAGCGTAGCGCTTCGGTGTACGCAGTAAACCTTCGCGGTCCGGGTCCTCGCCGATGCATTCCAGGATTGTACGGATGGCGGCGGTCATCTTCTGTTCGCGTGATGCATCATCTTCGTGCGTAGTGTTTACTCTCGACGTGTTTGACTTGGCTGCGGTAGATCAGCGGCTGCGGGTTCATGAGCCGGATATGGCTCACCTGGCCAGCCGAGGCCATGCTCGTTGGGAGGCAGAGGGGAGCTTTGACCTGATCCAGAAAGACTGACGACCTCGGGCGTCGAAAGAGCCTGGACAAGTTGGAAAGACGCCTCAGAAGAATCCTCAAATGTGGACGATTGAGACATGGTGCTGCGGTTGAACCCACATACGGCTTTTCTATGCAAGCCAGGGACCTAATTAAAGCGATCGGACTCATCCTGCGCCGAACGCCCAAGGTGTTAAGTATAGCACACACTGATACGCACCAAGGCGCGCTACGCACGGAAACGGCCGCCGCACAGCTTTCGGAGTTTCCGCCACATACCTATTTGCGCCTCCTTGGGTGGTTTCATCTCGCAGGACAGACGTCATCATATTGCACGTCGCAGGGACTTCGAAGGCCACCTCGGCCGCGAGTATATTTTAGCGATTCAAAACGTTGACGAGGAGGATATCATGGACCAGAGTAAAGGTGAATCTTAGGTGATGTGCTGTCCAAGGGCGTGCCAGTGGCGCTGGCCCAAGGCCTCTGGTTCACTGCACAGTGGCTGGCGCGCGTCGTCCAACACCTTCCCGTGACGGAACTCGAGGTAGCGACCATGGTGTTTGCAGCTGTAAACGTCTTCATCTGGATTCTGTGGTGGGGCAAACCACTTGATGTTCAGCGGCCCATCCCCGTTGGACCTGTGGTAGAGCCGCACTTTGTGACAAAAACTTGATCGCACTTGATTTCACTTGATCTGACTTGTTTCGGCCTAAAAAGACCGCAAGTGACAAGTGATCAAGCCAGGTCCGATTTTCCACAAGTGAAAAAAAACTTTTTCCTACGGGGTGCGGGCTCATTTTTATTTCAGATTTTTTGGATTCAAGAGGAAAAGCGCATTCAAGACCAATCAAGTGACAAGTAAAATGCCGAAAGCCTGATGTAGTGACTATGTTGGGGAACGGCCACGACGCATTGACTGGGACTTTCGACGCCTCACGCTCACGTTACCCAATGAAATTGATCCCAACATTCTGGTCCGCGGAAAACAGGGAGAAAATCTGGAGATCCAGCCGTGACATCACTCTGGCCGTCGAGTGCCTCACAGGCACCATTTTTGGTGCCATCCACTGCACTGCATGGACAACGGCCTTTCCTTCTCCCGCTGAAATGTGGTTGTGGAGGTCCAGTTCCTTAGCAATTACTGCCATTCCGGTTGTCCTTGGCCTTCTGGTTAGTTTGCAATACTTGAACCGCAGAATTGATATCTACGATATCTTGGGCAGCACACTTATATCTACGCTGCCCATCTACATTCTCTCGCACTTTGTTCTCCTCACCCTACCATTTACCACCTTGCGCAGCCTCCATACGGGTGTGTTCGTGGATGTGGACTGGACCGTCTACATCCCACACCTTTAGTCTTCTGGATGCTCACTGTACTGGATGGTCTGATTTATTGCGTCGTTCAAAGTTCTCCTTTTCGTCTCTGTTTCGGTCTCCTTTTCACTTTCCTTTTCGTCTTCCTGAACCGAGAAGGAGGACAAGTAGGAACCATGAAAAGGAGCATTTTGGCGATCACTAAATACTCCTTTTTGTCGTCCTACTTGTCCTCCTTCTTGTGCCGAGATTTGGAACTCCGCACTGGACTTTGACCCCATCATTCCCTTTGTCCTTTCCATCCACATGTTTTCATCGCACCTTCTCTATCCTATCAGCTACCCCATTGTCAATGA